ATGACTTCTTTATTCTAGCAGAAAGCAGGGCTAGTGTCACTGCCCTCATTTCACATATGGAGAAACTGTGGCCTAGAGCCCTGTATCACCACAGCACTTGTAGGTCCTTGGCAGAGCCAGACTTGAACTCAGTGGCCTCCCTTCAGACACAGGCCTCAGCAGACCATGGCCAAAGATGCATGATTGAGAACACAGCCTGCTTCCTGGATGTGTGTCAAGGGGACAATGGTTGTAGAAGCTGACAAGCAGAGTGGAACATCGATGTAGATGAGGGACTAGCCCCAGATGTCACTGCAACAAATCTATCTGCCCCCCTGCTCTCCAGCTCACCTGGGCCAGTGCCAAGGAAGGCCAGGAGCAGGTGAGCTGGGAAGCAAAGGTTTCCAGGTGAGCTCGGGCATAGAAAACGTGGTGGCAAGAATGCTTTGGGACTAGAACAAGGTTGTTGTTGTTGTGTACCGCTGAGTTGGAACCGACCCTTAGCTGAACCTCTGGCTGGTTTTCAGAGGCAGTTACTCTCACAGGAGGAGATTGCCTATCCTTCTCCTGCAGAGCATCTGGTGGCCTCAAACTGCATGCCTTTGGGATTACAGCGCAGCTTCCTGTCACTAGACCACAGTAATAGTTTCTAGGACTTTGAACTGTATCTAAACGTCATACAAACTCCCTCCTTAAGTAAATTTCTACTAGATTGGATGGGTGTCAGACTAGCTGTTACTCCACTCCATGTGAGTGAAAGAGGGGGGCCATTTCTGTCACCTGACTGGGCTGGTTTGCATAGGGGAGTGAAGATTGGGGGAGCAGGAGGCCTGAACTGGGGCCATCTCCCCACCCCCAACATCTGCACTTCGGCAAAACTGACATTGCTCTTCTCAGTCTCTTCTCTGGGTCGATCTGGGCTCTGCTGTGACAGATTTCGCATGATGCCAGCTTTCCTGTTAAGAATGGCCTTCAAGGGATCTCAGTTTTATTCCACCTAAAGTCCCTGTTATTGCCACTGGGAGCCCCTTTTCGATTCAGACCAGAGGACCTGTGTTTGGACCTCTAGGCACCAAGGGTGGATCCTGGCAGGGCCCCGGGGTGGAGGGAGAGTTTGGAGCCCAGGTACAGAGATGCCAGGCTGTGAGGCTGGCTGGTTCCCCATTACCACCCGCTCCCTAGACCTAGCAGGAGTCCCTGCCCCCAGGCCGCTGGTGCTCGGTCATTGCTCTTGGTCCACTCCCAGGACGGAGAGCTCACCACCACTCTGAGCTCTTTCTTTTGGACACACAGCCTTGCACCTGGAGACCCAGAGGAAGTGCTCCACCATCGAGGACGCTGAGTGTGGCTGCCCCCAAGGCCACTTCCGCGTGCCCGAGGGCACAGACCCCTGTGCCATGTGTCTGCCCCACACAAGCTGCAACCTGGGCCAGCGAGTCCTGAGGAACGGTGAGCTGGTGAAGGCTGAGGCCCCATCCCTAGGTTACTTGACCTTTGCGCGTCAGTGGAGGCTGGCAGCCACTGTGACCCTCTCTGCCCCATGCCCACCCTCCGGCCCCAGCCTCACCGTGGGTCATGGTCAGAGGGTTTGGGGACAGGCTGGGATTCACAGTGGTGTATTTTGGGTCTTCATCCATCTTCATCCAGATCAATAGTGGGGGTTTGTGGGGTCTGTGTCCTGTTCTTGCTCTGGCACCTAGTGTGGGGCTGCCTCCCTGCACATCTCTGGGGTGGATCCCTGGATACTCAAACTGCAGCCACTTCATCTCCTGGAATTCAGAGCCCGCCATCCACATCCGGCCTCTGGTTGTCGCATTCTTGGGGACAGTCTCTCCAGCCGTCCAGTTCCTTCTGGAGACCCCAAAGGAAGAAGCAACTAGACTCCGTGCTAAGGTGGAGGGAGGCAGGCAACACAAGTGCCTGCCCTCTGGCCCGGCCCTCAGCCCCCTCTGCCCTCTGCATTCTCAGGCACTAACAGGACGGACACAATATTCCAGGACTGCCCACCTGGAACCTTCTCTTTTCTGGGAACCCTGGACGAGTGTCAGCCCTGGACGAAGTAGGTGACCCCACTGGTATACCAGGGTACCAGGAGGGCTCCCTGCAGAGAGAATGAAGACCCTTTGGCCCCCTCGATGTGCCAGCTTCCAGGACTGTCTCCTTGGGTTGGATCCCATGAACCACAGACACCGTTCCTGACAACCCAGACCCCCAGAGTCATAGGATCTGGTTTCCTGAGCTGCTCCGGGAGCCCTTGGCCTGGAGCTGTTCCTGAGAACACCCCATGGCTCTGGGGTGTCACTAGTGTAAGGTCAAGAGGCTTCAGAGTCTCTGGAGTTGGGTCAGGTAAGGGGAAGCTCTCAAAGTGTAGACCTCACCCTCATGTGCTCAGAACTCACTGCTGTCCAGTCAGAACTGTCCCAGTGCTGACGGCCCAGCAGGTTTTCAGAGACTGTGAATCACGCAGGACGAAACTGCCCGTCTTTCTACCACGGAGCAGCTGTGGGATGCTGACCACGTGCCTTTGGGTTGACAGCGCGACCAATTACCCACTTGACTATCAGAATACTCCTGGACAGGACCCCATAAATGTAGATCCCAGGGTCCAGAGCTGACTGGACGCTCAGAGGGCCTAGAGTTCAGGGACTCTCTTCTGCTCAGGCTCTGGGTCCAGCTCTGCCCCACTCTCCTTCTAGGACCTGGCCTGTGTCCTCAGGCGCCCAGGACACCGCACCCTCACTGTGCTTCTCCGCTTCCGTCTCTTCTCGCCCTCTTTCTCCTCCTCCCTCCTCTTCCACATCCTTTCTTCTTCACTGTCCTTCTCTTTCTCAGGGGTCTCTGGGCTGCTGGAATCCTCGCCTTCCTGTCCCTCTCAGCTGGACCCATCTCTCCCCTCTCCAGGCCGTCTCTGTCCTCCTTCCTTTTCTCTATCCCTCCAAGGAAAAGGCCTAGCAAACAGATTTCTCCTCTCAGATCACCGGTGTTTGTGTCCTTTGGGAAGCCCTTGGCCCCCAGCCCTGATCACTAGGAAAAGCCCCTGGCAGGCTCCTCACAGGCCCGTGCCCCTCCCGCTCAGGTGCAGTGGCCCGCTTGTGACGGGGAAGAGACCGGGAACAAACACCACTTATGTCCAGTGCTCCTTGTGGCCGCGGTATTTGGTGGTCAGCATCATTCCCATCATCATCATTCTTGTTCCTTCTCTAACACTTTCCCTTTTTTTGTGGAAGAAGAAACGGAAGACGTTCCCTGGTGAGTATCATCCTCTGAGGCCCAGGACCTGGGTCCCAGCAGGGGTGCATCATGGGCCTCATACTGTCCCTCTGACATTGGGGAAATGGGTGGACATCCCAGAAGTACTGCCAGGACCCCAGGAGCTGTCCTTGGTGGTGGCCACCATAAGCCCATGGAGGGGACAGGTGATTCCTACTGGCTGAGGCCAGATACCATGCAGGGTCAGGTAGGGGAGGGAGGACAAGGCTGCTCATGGCCATTTCCCAGCTTCCTCTCTGAGGCGACGGGCCAGGGCACATACAGGGCAGGTGCACAAGGACACGGCTCTTTTCCCTGATAGGAAGTGTCACTGGCTCAGTCCCAGGTCTGCTCACCCATCTAGACCTGGGCTTCTGCTTCCTGCCAACCTTCAGCTTGGAACAGGGACCTGATTCCAGAGAACCCTGTTTGGTATCTGGGGACACCTGCTCCTCTTCACAGAGGGAGGGACTCTGAGCCAAGGTGCCCAATGCAGGAGTGGACAGACAGCTTCTGGGGCCCTGGAGTCCAGAGAGCTGACTCCGTAGCTACAGAGAGAGGATTCTCAGGGTCAGGAGGAAACTGAGGCAGGCTGGGCATTGGGCTTCCAGTCTCTATTCACAGTTCAGTGTTGCCTCTGGGGTGAGGCAGGGAGCCCATATCCATGTAAAGGGTCTCCCCACTTTCACCCAGTACAGAAAGCTACATTCAAGTTAGTTATGAGCACAGACTTTGGCAATTACAGGAGAAGGGCATGTCCTCTCCCAGTTCTTGGGGCTACTGGGTCACCAGGAGCTTGGACATCATAAGCAGTCTCATTTGTTCCTGAGGCCAGTCTCCTGGGGAAAACCACCCAGTGAGGAGCGAGGAGAAGCCACCCCTCCTCCCCCGGAGTGTCTGTCCTCTATTGCTCTCTGACCCCAGGACAGTCAGACCCCCAGCTCTCTCTGAACCCCACCTGTGTTATCTGGCACCTCAGCTCTCTAACTCCCTCACCATATCTGCTAACTCAAGCCCCGCCCTCTGACATCTGTTTTCTCTGTATTGCAGTAGGAGGTCAGAAGGAGACCTGCAATCCCCAGGTATTGCCCCCCACCCACAGGAGGTTGTATTATTGGGATGGGAAGGGTCCTCCACTCCCTGAGGGTCCTGAGTCCTTCGTGCCACCCTGTGTGGGGAAACACATGGCCACATTTGGGATGTGTGCAGCCAGTGGCCCTGGAACCCAGGGGGTGTGTTTCCTGTTGAATCTCTTTGCAGTCACAAGGCAGCACAAGGGCAGAAAGAGAATGCCTGTCATTAGATGTCACTACAGAGGCTGAGACAGAGACTTCAGGAGCGCTCCTTGAAAGAAAGGACTCAGACACCTGAGGAGAGACCCCTGCAGCCGCATCTGGAGACAGCCTGGGCCCCAGAGGATGATGGGGACTGCTCTGCTCTGTGTGAGCCCTGCCCAGGAGCGGGGAGAACTCGGTGAAGATCTGCTCTGGGGCTGGCTGCAGCTCCACCTCAAAGGGAAAGACAGGGTCACAGCCCAGGAGACATGTGGACATCACTCGTCTAGGTCACCCAGGACACAGGGTGCCTAGAGTCCTCCCCTGGCACTTCTGGACTCTGCTGGGACCAACACTGAAA